TTTCCATTTGCTTAAATCTATGCTACTCTAAGAAATGCTTGTTGTATTTACATATATCTGTTTAAAAAAAAATAACAGGAGAAAAATGTTTCATAACATAATTAAATATCTGTTAATGTTTGTGTATTGTTATTAATGATTTTCTATAAAACTTCAAGCTTCAGCAATTCCTCCTTTATTTAATGACTTCTACAGAATTCTTTACAAAATAACTATCACAACACTATGTCCAAGCCGTTGGGTGTAATGTGGCGCCATCTACCATCAGCAGATTACACATTACCCCCAAATGACACGGTGGATGACAATACTTTTAAAATATTAACGTTTAAAATATAACAAACTCATATCTGTATTAATATAATAAAATTGTAAATAATAAAATATAAATAATCAACATCAAATTAATATTACAAAATATAAGTAACAAAATATGAAGAATGAACATGATTTAAAAATTATGAATCAATCAAAGTACTATTTATAAATATTGACAAGAATCAGTTGAGCAACTATAACTAACAAAACGTTTTTGTATTACGTTTGAGTTATACTTTCATATTTAATTTTGTACACGCCATGTTTTACTATAAATGGACTAGGACTTGTTGACATAAAGTAATATTACTTAGCGTACACTTGGCGTACTGACATAATAATCAAACGGTAGCTTGACTCTTCATGTAAACTACCTCTACACATAACTTCTCGCCAAACTCGTCAAAGAAAACAAATCAATATACTCTTTTAGTTTTATTACTTACAATTTTGATCGATAACAACCAATGAAGCAGGTATAATACGTAACCTGTGTAGGTATAATCACGGTAATATTACATATTACATTACCGTGGTATAATCTATGTTCTTGCCAGCGCGGCGTGAAAAGGTAACAGACGGACAGATTTACTTACATAAGTATTTTATTAATATTCGTATAGTATATGTAGTATTTACATGTAGTATAGTGAAAATTACATATTTTTTAATTTTCTCTAAATATTTATCCTTATTTATATTTTACTGCAACAACGAAGCTCACGGTCCAACTACTAAGCTACACGTTAATTAAATCCATACTTTAAAGTACAAGAGACGTTCTAAAGAACTAAAAGATCACGATAAAGCACAGTCATTACCATAGACAAGGATAAATAATTTGCAAAAGATATTCTTTGTAGAAGTTTTAAAATTACGCCTGCACTTTGCCGGCGCGGGGCGACGATTTCATTCAATAATGCGCAGTAACAGTCTAAGTAAGTCAGTTAGCAGGATACTTTTAGGGTCGCCTTTTATAAAAATGGCGATATCGCGATGAATAATTCAGAGCTAACAAGATTTGAGCTTTGATTATAAAGTTTCGGCTTTTAATGTTATCGTGAGATTGTTTTAATTGAGTATGCCTTAAGAACCTTTTATAGAACTTTGTACGTAATATATACATAATATATTTCGTGCAACAAAAATAACTATGAAAATGAGCAAAATATAATAAAACTTAAACGCGCTTAACGAGTACAGATCGTATTCACATACACTATCCACCTTCGCGGTATTTTGTGACTACCCCCCAAAATACTGATAAATATTCACAGATAATAAAAACAAATAATGGTTTAAAATGTTTGCTAAATGTAAATTAATTATATAATTCAAGATTTTACATAAATCAAATAAAAACTCGTAAATGCATGCATAAATTGAAAATAACATATTTCTATTTTAGAACCATAGTTATCTGATGACAATTTTCACTTTTAATATGAATAACTCTTAACTAATTCTTAAATAATCTGTTGTCCTGAAAGCGGTAGATACAACAGAAATAGACAGTTTTTTCAACATTTAAGATTATTTTGTTTAGATTACTTTTTAGTGAAATTATCAACATATTTATAGGTACAATAGAGGCTTAATTATTATGAAAATATGGATTTTACACAAAAAGGCTGTTTATTATTCGTTAAAGGTATATTTATCTTTTGTAATGACTTATTTAGGTATAGAAAAGTATGAAAATATTCTAACTTTAGGTCTTCATAACTTTTGACTATTTTCCTAAAAATAATTTTTACATATTTGAACTCCCTATCACATCCCCTATCCAAAAATACCACTCACTTCTCCAGGGGCCGCGTCCCATATACTAAGCTTGAGTCAATATTTTTTAATGTCATTTCTTTTAGACTAAGAAAATAATTATTAAAAAGTGCAAATATTATAGATAGGAAATTCAAAGTAGTTAAAACGCTCGCCATTGGTCAGACCGAATATGACGTCAGAGTATTATCATAACAGAGCGATTAGCGATTTTGTTGCTACAAACTAAAGTCGTTCTTTTTCTATGTATGATACTTTGACGTTACGCCAAGCGCGCGAAATGGCGTCTAAAGTACCCATATCGGTATGATATTTTAGTTCCTTTTCTATAATAAATTTTAGTTGTTTGTAGCTGGATATTTTTTTTACAATTACATATGTTCATTAATTTTTTTTTGTTTGGAAAATCGTATTGAAAGTCATTATTATCGATACAGAGGCCTAGACTATAGTTTTTAGAATTTTTGTCTGTCTGCCTGTTTGTATGTCTATCTGTCTGTCTGGTAACGCATCACGAGAAAACCACTGGACAGATTTTGAAGAAATTAGTACGATGATAGGTTAGGATCCAGGTCAATATATAAGATACTTTTTACTGCTGGAAAATATCTCATCTCTGAGAAATCTATACGAAGCGTTAAGAAACATTAGAAATAAAAGTGCAATTTAAAACTCAAATAATGTTGGTTTTCGATCTTATGATCTATTGATTTCATCATTATGCTAATAACCAACGATTACCCTCGATCTTTGATTGACAACTAAAACACTGCGATTATCCTAAGTTGTTGGAGCAAATTTTGTGGGAATATTTGATTGTAGTTAGACTTAATAGCGACTTAATTCGTGGCATCATTTGTCTACGAAGTTTCATTGAGGTAGGTGTTTAGCACAATATTATGAATTTAGGCCAATAATTTTAATATTAATTGTGTAATTGTTGTTATCAAATAAGCTCTAAGCTTGAAATGGAAAATTTTCATGACTTTTTCTAATTAACGAAAATTAAAATTTAGGTATGTATACATATATTATTAGGTATATTCGACGACTCGTTTGATTCAGTTTGTAGTGACCCTACTTGCTGTGCCAGCGGTCGCGGGTTCGAGTCCTGCTGGAGGTATTCATTTGTGTGATAAGCACGAATGTTTGCAATCACGAGTGTTTATATTTATAATATGTATGTATTTAAAGATATGTGTAGTGTGTCAACTTAATAGTAGGCACACTACACACATTATGTCATGGAACTAGATAGTGCTATGTGTTAATGCCCTAACATATATAAACATTTTTTTTGCTGAGAGATCTTTCTCTAAAGGCATTAGAAGTTATAAGAAATTAAAAAAAAAACATTACAAATTATAAAGTCAATTATTTAAAAATCACAAACAGGTATATCGATTCGTATGATTATAATTTTCAATCTAAATTAATTCCGCGTATTACACAACATATGTGTAACGTGTACCTACAAATTTATATTACTTTATAATTGAATTCTTACGTGTATAATTAAAACTTTTAATTAGCTTTGCATAAAGAACATCGAATTGTGGCTTAATTAATTATTTCATCTAACATATGACCTTCTAGTTTCTATGTTTGCGTTCAAATGGTTTTAACTTTATAAATGAGAGCTATTGAAAGTTGGAATAGGTCCCGTGGGCGGGATACAACGGGCACTTTAATTTCTTTGTTAAAAACAGCTATAAAACCAACAATATTTATTTGCAAATACAATACATTTAATCAAAGGGTAGCAGAGTGTGAAATTTATTATTTCAATGACTTTTTTTTTTTTGATAAATGTGATGGAATATATGTTTGAGTTGTTTCATTCGATTATATTTGAAGGAAACATTAAATGATTTGGACACGTGGATAGAAATGTGAGGAGACCACAATGCTGTAGGCTAAAAAATCTGATTAATTCGTCTACACTATGTATTTGCTATTGGGTTGTAATCTGACCTGACTGATTAATATTCCGCTTAGCCGATTTTCATTACGGCCATTCCCTAGACACGAGTCAACTGCGCGGAACATATTATAGTGCAGCGCATGTCTATACAAGTGCACTCTCACACGTGTCTAATAAGATATGTAAAGTAAGATAGTATATATAATAAGATGTAAGATATCTGTCTGTCTGAGAACGCATCTTGAGAAAACCACTGAATAGATGTTGGGTAAGATGATAGCTGGTTATTCGGCTCCAACATATAGGATACTTTTTACTGCGGTAAAATATCTCGTCTCTGAGAAATCTATACTAACCTTTAAAATGTAGAGACGAACCCGAGCGGAGCGAGAGTGAATCGCTAGTTATATTGTATAATTTTAAAAATCTGTATTGTACGTGTACATATACATATGTAGGCACTAAAATGAAAAAAAAACCTGTATTTTTGATATTATGAAGCTCGTGTGGTATTTGCATGATATAAAAGCTTTCACAAATATATTATAATATATATTGTAAATAATATTTATACGTTTTTGTCTACTAATACTTGAAACGGCTAAATTGATTTGAAAACGACTTTAAGCGAATAATTTTATTGTTTGCTTTTATTAGCGAAGAATGGAGTCAGGTAAATGTGATAGGAATCTTGTTATCCTAGGAAAGTAAAAGCTTCTTCTTGAGAAATTAAAGGAAAAACAGCTTATTCAACAGCAGAACTTTCAATGGCGTGTAAAGATTAGGATAGAAGTAATATAGGATAATATTTAATATCATACTGCGCGAGCGAAGCCATACACGTAGACTAGTCTTATAATAATACTGTAAGGATATATTTTAAAAGTTGTATACGGTATTCTTTTAAAAAACCAATTTACTTTGAGCTTTTCCTATCTTACATTTTATTAAAAGCACGTTCTGTCGGACAGCTCTCATGATGTGGCGGATCATAATAACATGTCTGGCTTTAAAACTCGACGCTTCCTACGGAGCTAGCGTGGCTGTGGATTATTTTGAGGAAAAGAGCGTACCTTACCTTTGCTTTTTGACATGTGGATATCAGTCGAGTAAGTTGCACTTTGTGGAATTTGAATATTTTGATATATTTTATTCTATAATATTCGCTTTTTTATATAAAAAATTGTCGTTTATTACGTGGCTAATATTAGGTAAAAAACCAAGCATAAGTTGGACATGCACATCGAGGGTTCTATGAGGTCACACAATATGTTTGCGTTAAGTCTACCTATTTACAAATAACACAGAGCATTTTATTAAATAGCAGTTAAAACTTATAGATCAAGTCTGATTTTTCGCTAGTTTCCATAATTTATTATTTTAGCTTAGTGTTTAAAATCGGCCATATACAGTTAAAAGTTCAAGCGACTACCTGTTGTGTTTCAGCCCTAAAATAATTATATTAGTACTAACAGTACCCGTGGCTTCGCCCGCGTCCAAACCATCAATCGCTAACAAAATTCACAAGATCACCCGCTAGCCTAATCTGAAGATTACCTAAAAATTTCATCAAAATCGGTCCAGCTATTTATTATAAATGTAAAGAAAACCACTTCATATGCAAGTCCTTTTTTTTCAAGTTTATTTTATTTACATAATTACTTTTTGATTGATTCTAAATTAACTTTTTTTTTAGTTTTTTAACTTTGACATTTAATAAAATAATTGATATAATAAGTAATTTATGTATATATTTTTTCATTCTCAATCAATGTGTCATTTTTGAATTACGTAATTATTTTTCTATTGTTATAGGTTACTTTTGTAGACCGATCATTAATTTATAGTTTTAATTCTACAATAAAGTTACCAAATTTCAAAATTACCGCTCAATCTCATTTGGGTCTTCCTCACAAAACGTGACACTGGCAGAATGGATTGCGTCTGTTAACGCAACTATAAGCCATTAAAAAATATATAATAAGTAATTATAAAATTTTCCTCGAAGAGTTCATTTATTAATTTATTGTTTAAATGTTGTTTCTTTTACTATTACAGGTGAGTTAATATTTTATTGTAAGTGTAATTTTTTTTTGTATTTAAATTCTAATAGTGAAATAAATCTTTTATTATTACAGAAACAACTTAAGTCTTTATTTTTCAAATAAGATAAATAACATTATTATATAAATAAGAAACAAACTATTATAAAAAAAAATGGAGGTCGCGTTGATAAATATAGTCAATGAATTAAACTTTTAAATGGCCGATAGTGTTGCTTTAATTGAAAAAGGAGGGAAAACGAGAACAAAAATGTTCAATGAAACATAAAACTAATGGGAAAGCTTACTTTTTACAGAATAAAATCGTTCGCCGAGCGCCCAGCACTACACCATAACTGTCAGTAAATAACCATGTGCAATGCGAACACAAAATATATGTTACTTTTTAAAACCATGAAAAAATCTGACTACTCTTTTTAGAAACCTAAAACTGACGATGAGATTGGAATTCATTTACTTACCTCCAGTATAAAAATGTTTATCCTACTACTGTAATAAATGTGAAAGTTTGTGAGTATGGTGTTTGTTACACTTTCACGCCAGAACGCCTGAACGGATAAAATTTGGCACAGAGATAGATTATAATCTGGAATAACACAAATTAATTTTTATCGAGGAAAAATATACGGTTCCCGAGAGATAGATTTGTTTTTGTTTTTCTAGAGGCGAACCCGAGCGAAGCGAGAGTGAGCGGTAGTAATATAATATGCTTATAAAAAAAGTTAGAGTTAGTTAATATATTATAGTTTAAAAATCTGTACTCTGAAGGAAATGTTGGCAAAACTACAATGTAGGTAAAATGAGGCCAGCCATGTAAATTACTAAAATTATTCTTTCTGTAATGGAAGAATAATTTATTTAATAATTTTAAATGATATTAAAGTAGTGTTTCTTAAAGTGTCTTTTGACGATTAGATAGTTTGAAGTTTCTCTTAGACATAAATCCTTGTTTTGGTTTGGTTTGGTTTCCTCGCGATATTTTTCTTTCAATTTATGATATTACAGTGACTGATAAAAATACAAAAAATATATACATATTATGAAAATATTAGAATCCTTTAATTGTGTTTTCAAAATGAGATTTCACCTCTCCGTCCAAAATAAAATTAGGTCTAAATAAAATAAATACTCACGTATTTTAAAATTGTAATATAACTTTGTTGTATTGTTTTTATCTTCTATTAACGTATTTTATGTATTGCATCAATTTTTAGATTTTTTTTGGTCCGTATTAATAATTGTATTATTTGTAAATTTGATTTCTCAAATAAAATATATTACAGGTATACAAAATTTGTAAAAGAAAAAGTCTAATAACTAGTATTTTCTACATTTCTACTATTTTTACACATTTTTACGATTTATCAATATATATATATATACATATATTGATAGTTATAATGGACATATTTTAAACTAAAACTTTTCTACGAAAAAATAAAGCTAATACAAACTTTAAACGGATAAAACGTATCGTCTTACAAAATGATAAGCTTTCTTACAGAAAACAAGAAGCTCGCAGACGACTTTATGAACAAAGGTGTGAGAGTTTCAATGAGGCTAATTGATAAGTACGGCGCAGATCTTGAGAGGAGTCTGCTTCAATGGAACGTACCTGTCGGAGTGCTCCTGGATGCTGGATGCGAAAATAGCGATATTGTTCTACGAACGGTGACTTGTTTTGTTTTGCGAGTTACTTGTTATTTTAAGTAAAATCTTTTGTAAATCAACATGAAACCATTCTAGAATGATGCACGATTACATGGAGTGTTAAAAAATTAGTGTCCATTGTAAGTTGTAAATGTATATATATATATTTATATATTGGTACTACAAACGCTATATGTCATATGTTTGTTACTACTTTACTCTTAAATGGCTTGACGGATTTAGATAGTACATAAATAGACTATGATTAAGTTGCTAGCTATACATAGATATTTACCTCATCCCAGATTTATGACTACTTATTTAAAAACACTCATTACATATACATAATATATTCTAAAAGAATATTTTCTCAATATTCACATTTTCCATCTATTCCCTAAGCCAGGCTTCGAAGGCAATGCTGTTCGACGCAATGCACATGTGGCTTATTATGGAGACTGCAGACGAATATGAAGAAAACAAAATAAGATCTTTAAATGTACTACAGAGGATGAATCTTAGTGTAGATGCTGATGTTGTAGTGGCATTCAATGGAGGTATCAAATCAAATCTTTATTCAAATAGACTTTTACAAGAAATTTTTGGATTGTCACTTTTTACATTTTTATAATTTTAATTAAATGTATAGTTAATTATATAGATCACTACGAAAAATCTTCGCCTACGTCTGAAATAAGAAGAAAAAAGATAATAATTATCATAATATTACCATATTATCTTCCTGCTATTCTGCAAGAACTCGTTGTTTTCCGGAATTGCTCCAAAATTTAATATAATCAGTAATTTTTTTGTGTATACGTGTGTAATAACAAAATATTGCTACAGAAAATTTACGCACGTATATTATCATATTGTATTATGCACTTATTCTAGTATATTATAATAGATGTCCAAAATTTCTAGTTTTCAGTAAGTACCTATAAGAAAGAATAGAAGTAATATAAACAATACCTCTCTAAAAATAATCGAAAATATTATGTAAATATGGCCGTAAAAAGACAATGAAAATTCGTTGTTACTGCGTATATAACAACGTCATTCGATTTTATACCGTAGCGGAACGCGCCCACCTAATGGATGTGTTTAACTTTGGCAAGATCCAAGGTAACGCTTTGGAGACGAGGCTTATTGGAATGTGGGGTCTGGAAACAGGTGAACTATGTTTTCATTATATATATATATATATATATATATATATATATATATATATATATATATATATATATATATATATATATATATTGTAATGAGGTAAACTAATTCTGCGATTATTAATAATTAATAAGTATTATTTTAGGATATCATTTGTACTAATAAGAATTATTTTTGATTTTTAAACAATTTTTGTCTTATTGCAATTGAAAAACTTATATTTTAATCAATAGTGGAGAGCGGTCACTAGTTTCAGGACAAAATATGCAAATCCTTGAATTTTCGTGATTCGTGTTTCACAATTTCAGGTCTGAACGTTTCGTTCAACAGATTCAAGTATTATGATCGTTGGGATTTCCACAATTTGACGCTGCGAGCCATATCGGTGGTGAATATTATTATAGCATACATATATACATATATGTATATCTAGTGATAACACTGTATATTTTATATTATTTATTTAGATTAGTATTGATGATATTTATATTTATTTCTATACATATTATATTATGTAGTTAATTCATTAAATTGAAATTATAACAGCTTAAAAATTATTAAAATCGTTGATATCAAAATGTACTGTGAAATGGTTGCTAAAAAGCATAATTAATATGGAAAACTTGCTCTTTAACTTAATTCAATTGTAAATAATAGTTTAATATGAGAATTGAGCAGTGAGACTGAGCACCCAGTCGCGTGTCACGAATAGAAATTGATGTAACTAAATATAGCCAGAGCTCTGATTGGTTGTCACCTTGGCTTCTTCTACAATTACATTGATACCCAAATATGAATTTACGGTATAATTGATTCGATATAGAGATTGAAAATGATACTTTATTTATAAATAAGAAGCTAAAATTGGACTGCTATTGAAATTGCGAAATTGTATGTGTGCGCGCGTGTGTGTGTGTGTGTCTGTGTGCGTGCATGCGCGTGTGTGTGTGTTTGTTACTCGTTTACAATAAAACGGCGGGTAGTGATGAAATTTAATACGCATATAATAACACCGGTATCTACTCTTTAAATATTGCAGATCTTAGATAGTCCGAAAGAGTTTAAGCCAGAGATGTTGTCAGACTTGGGCTACACAGTCGGAGTGTCGGTGATGACCAAAATCGTCACTCAATTACTTTGGGTCCTTAAAGATTTACATAATTTCAGGTTAATTTTTATTTTGAGCTTTAAAAAAAACATTAAATACCTTTAAAAGTCTTTGATTTTAATTATTTCAAGGATTTTAGTTTATATCTTACGTAAGCGACAAAAATCCGATCAAGCGCAAAAACACTAACTAATCTTTATTTGCCGCTTCTTTGTTTATTTCTTTAAAGTAGGGCGGAAAGCTAAAACTTAAGTAATAGTAATCCGACTGGAATATATCGATACGGAACTCTAAAAACAACGTTTTCTAGAAAATAATCTAAAACAAGCAAAAAGGAACAAAGTTCGATAAAAAACCTAAGTAAAAGACACAGGATTGATAAAAAGATGAAATATTCTAAAACAGTGAGCAGTAATATCCATTTTCAGGTTCAATTACACGATAGCGGGGCGGTGGATCGGCTCTCCGGAAAGAAATTCTACTTTGGTATGTTATTATATATTTTTTCTATACCTCGCTCTCTCCTTTCTGGAGAAACTAGTGACACTGAAATTTATATAAATATATATTTATAATATACCTATAGGTAAATTTCTATCACTTTTTCTCTAAAAGTAATAAATTATAGATAGATAAGATAGAAAACTATCCATCGAAGAGATAATAAGTAGCGATAAAATAACTAAAGTGGCATTACTTTTTATTCAAAAATGCAATTTTTTTTTCATTATAATTGTTTTTGACGGTATGCTCTCAATGTTTATCAAATTAATATAATGTAGATATCCATATCACTAGTTGTAGATTTTTGTCGTCCTTATATACCCAATATAGAATACAAAAAATACCAGATATGACTTTCTTTTAGGAAGTTATGTCTTTAAAAGGTTACTAATAAGTTGTTCTATTGATCTGTAGATGAATATAATCAATAAACGTAATTTCAAAATTATATATAAATATATAACATGCAACTAAAATATAGTAGAAATATGGCAATAATTTCAATTAACTTAAAAGCGTGCTAATGCAGTTCGTGTCTGAGTGAAGGAAGAATGGCTTTGTAGTAATTAAATAAAATCTTAGTAAGGTGAGCAAATTTTAAATAAAAAATTATATAAATTAAAATATAATACTCGATAGAATCACAAGATTTTCTGGTAGTAAATGTTATCTTAAATGTTAATCCGAGTAATAAGTTATTGCTATATAAAATTTAGTTAAAATCGGTTCAGTACTTTTTGCGTGAAACGCGCAAATCGATTTCGCTAAGATACTGTTTTATTATAGGTATGTATATATGTCTAATATTCGCGTAAATCTACGAAAGTATTATAAGAATATATAATGTGAATAAAGTTGGTATAAGACACTAGTATAGGTTGTCGAGTCCGCAGGCTGTCACCAACTCGCTGTACTGGGGCGAGCAAGACATCTCGTGCACTTGCGCGCGGATATTCACTCAGTGGTTGGACTGGGTCGACGTATTCTTTCCACCTGCTACGACGCTTGAGTATGTATTATATTTCATTTATTTCCTTTGATCTTTTTTTCTTGCATATAATCATTTCGATCAAGCATTACAAATTCTTCTTCAAAGGCTTCGAAAATATTTGATTAGGTATATATTCTAAATGAAAATCTCTGTTTAGTTATTTTTTACATTTTAGTGCCTGAAAGTCGTTTTTTTATTTTTCCATATTTAGTGTAGACGTAATAAGCAGGAAATTTGTAAGAAGAAAGTTTTTTGATAACATATTCATTAACAATTTATAGTATACATATATGTATGTATTATATCCATTAACAATTTATTTTATCAAATAGGCCTTTGTTAACATATACAATTCTCTGTAATTACAAATACTGACTCGATATAACCTCGATGTAAATGAAGCATTTAAATATAAATTCATACATGAGCTAACAAAATCAAATCTATCGTCGAATCCCAAACCGAACTAACATTTATCATTTTAGGACGAAATTTTACTACCTTATCCTAGACAAAGGGGTGGGTGACTATGAGAACCGTTTTCTAACCCCTTTGTCGGCGGGAGTATGGTGGTGTACCGTGGTGGCGTGTATCTTGTGCGCGCTGGTGCTCGCCGTCACTGCGATGCTCGAGGATAGAAAGGAGCCGGGATTGTATGCTGCGTTTAGTGTTTTTGCTGTTATTTGTCAACAGGGTAAGTTATTTTCGACGTTAATGCTAATTAAATTAGTTAATTCAATTCAATTCTCGTGTTAATAGCTTCAAAACGTGCTAGTTGAGCACAGATTACTTTGCCAATGTCACGTAGAAATGAAATTGTTTAACATTTTCAAAATATCAAATTTGTATGGTCTTTTATGACCAAAATATGGCCTAATAACTCTTCAAATAATTTTATAACTTAATTCGTTAAACATTCACATTATAATTATTGCTTTTTTTATTAACTTTGATTTAGCATCATTCTTCAATCTAGCCATTTATACTGACAGTATCTATATACTATTATCCGGATATTATTATTCAAGTTGTTCATATAAAAACCCACATAAATGTTACCATGCAAATGTTTACGTGTATCGTATACGTGAAGTAAATTGTGTAATAAAACTTAAAGTGCATTTTCTGTTCCAAAACTCAGAATTATTTTAATTCCATTTTCAGCATACGAAGATGGAGTCAACTTGTTTGAAGAGGTGTCTTCGAGTCAAGGTAAAATTAGCATCTTTAAGAAATGTGCATTTTGAATCATCTACCACAACTTCACCACATCTAACTTGTAATAAATTTTATGGGTTTTAGATAAGTTGACTTAGGTATTATAAAATTTCCCCTCCAACGTGCGTTCACCTTGTCGTGGTGGGGGGGCTCAGTAGTAGTAGCGAAGCTAAGAAACGCACAGGGAGGTTGCCCTCTTCAGTGGGCGGTGGGAGGTGGCCCTCTTCGGAGGGCGGTGTACCATGCGGGTTGCTCTTGGTACTTCTCTAATAGCAGAGTGGACCTTGGAGCAACCCCATGGTTGTTGTGGTCTGCTTCGGCAGACCTGCCGTCGGGGCGTCGTAGTTGAATGCGTAAGCGATCCTGCGACGCCCCATTAAGACGGGGGAAGGTTTTGTTGGGTTTTAGTGGGTAGTATTAGTTTTTCTAGCCGGTGAGTCTCACATGAGGTATGTATACAGGAATTTATCGTCGGCTCTTCTTATCAGAACTGATTCTCGAGTCTGTCTTAGCTTCCTTACGGACCGACTATACCTACTATCTTTAAAGATTTTAAAGACTTTAACAAGCCTCTTTGAGGGCTTGTATAAGTCTAATTGAATAAAGTTAAATTTTCAAATTTCGTTTCATTATTCAGGGCGACGTCTAATCCTATTAGTAGTGGGTCTAATGAGCATGTTGCTGTATAACTACTACACAAGTAGTGTGGTCTCGTGGTTGCTGAACGCGGCCGCGCCCACGCTCTCTGACATGGACGCCTTGATCAACAGCGACCTGGAACTGGTGTTTGAGGATATTGGATACACGAGGGGATGGCTTGATGTATGGCTTGAGAATTTGTTATTTTTTATTAAGTTGGAATAACTTCTTATCGCATTGTTGTTATTATGAACTAGCGACTCACTCTTGCTTGGGGTTCGTCCCTAGACAAAAAAAAACTATCCCACGGGAACACTTCGTGATATAGCCTGTAGCCTGCCTAAATAAACAAGCTATCTAAAGCAAAAATAATTTTTCAAATCGGATTAATAGTTCCTGAGATTAGCGCGTTCAAACAAACAAACTCTGCCTTTTTATAATATTAGTATAGATGAGGAACTTTGTACGTGTTTTTGTTAATACTTCATACTGAAATGGCTGGACAGATTTAAGTAAAGTTTAGTACATAAATAGAGTTTGACTTGAAGTAACACACGGGTTACTGTAAATCCGTCAAAAGGTGGCGCTGCCCGTATCTGGTATTCTAAATAGCTTTTTCCCCGGCTCCACACGTGTATTTTAAATTTGTTTATCTTTATAAATTATAGATAGCTGTTACTCTGATGTATAAGTAGTTTTTTCGTCAAAGAGTAACAAACATATAGGTATCCATCCATACATCTTCACAAACTTTCCCGTTTATAGTATTAGTAGGATACAAAAGCCACTCACCTCACTTATTGTCGCCGAGTTGATATAATTATTGAGCAATTTACTGATATAAAAGTACTAAAAATCTTACTATAATAAGTTATTTAAGAAGCAATAAATGGTTTTGGTGTATATTTTATAACACTTATAACACTTGCAGAAAAATAAATTTCATTTTATTCATAGTAAATAAGACATTTATATTTTAGAACCCGGGATTCTTCTACTACAGTGGCTATAAAAATCCAAAGGAGGATGTTCTACGAATGAAGAAAGTGACGCACGGCAAGCGCACGGCCGCGCTGCTGCAGCCGGCCTCCGCCGTCAGCCTCATACGGTCTGGCGGTTAGAAAAATAATACCAATAATAATACCTCGTGGTTAAGAAATCGACAATAATTCAATGATTTTGAAAACTAATCAGGTTTTTGTTACAGAGTTGCATGATAACCTATAAACTTCCTCTATAAATAGGCTAAAATGCTAAAAGTTTTTTTTTAATTCGGATCTTTAACTGTGCACACAGATAAAGAAACAAACTTTACAGCTTTATATATTAATGTAAAATAGATGAAGTTCATAGGCTACCTAATATTTTATAACGCTATGCATATGCTACGCACTTATTAATTATAACTTTAAACAAATAAGATTTTCAAGAAACCAAGATTTATGTTAATTTACTGTACTATATAAAATAGATCAGAGATATATTATAGAATAAAAGATATAAATTTAATTTAAAATACTTTATATCCAGCTTTATTATGACACAACAAGGATTACGCACAGACAGACATTTAGAAACATCTTTATTTATACTGTTTAGAGATAAGCAAGTATTGAATATAAAAGCCCATTTCAGAGTACGCATACCACACCGAGCCGTACAACGCGTACCAAGTGATATCCAGGACGTTCGAGGACAAAGAGCTTTGCGAGCTCGGCTCCTTGCAGATGATGGCGCCCGCGTACGTCTACATAATGGCGCAAAAACGGAGTCCGTATAAACAGTTTTTTGTTTGGAGGTACGTTCATAAATACATAATATGTTAATACACTATTTACATCGAGTATATTCAAAATATGGCCTCGGTGGTGTAGTGGCTAGCATGTACGGCTGCACACCCGGAGGTCCTGGGTTCGAGTCCCGGGTCGGGCCAAGTTTAGTTATTGAGTCTTTCTGTATAGTAAGTCTCAGTAACAGCCCGGAGTTGGGAAGTTGGCGGTGTTTCACCCCCGTGCCTCGGAGAGCACGTAAAGCCGTTGGTCCTGCGCCTTAACTCTCACCGGTCGTGTCTCGTGTCGTCCCACCGGAGTATGAGAGTGACAGGAATAGAGAGTGCACGTTGTGTCTGCGCGTACACTTGTGCACTATAATATCTCCTGCGCAGTTGGCTAGTCTCAATAAGATTGGCCGCCGTAGCCGTAATCGGCTAGGAGAACATCATCATCATCATCATCATCATCATCATTCAAAATATTTTTTACCCAGCTTTCTTTGTTCGCAAGATAAGTAAATAAGCTGTTATATAATAAATTTAATGCTATTTAGTGCAGACCTAGTCCACTGTGCAATGTGCATGCCATTAGTGTGTTTTCTATTGCACAAATCAAGTATATCAAGATGTATCAGGATAAAAAATATCCTACTTCTGTTTTTGGGCAATAAAATATCTATGTATAGAAAATTTTGATGTTCTTAGTTTTTTTGTTGTTTTAAGCTTTTTAATAAAACGTAAAAGCCAACAACAGTTTCGCATTTTAAATAATATTAGTACTATAGAGAGCTGTAAATATTAAAAGTTTAACTTAATTTAGCATTATAGTCTGAAATCCCATTTTAAGCTGAGTGTCCTTGATTACTTTATAAAGAATCAACATTTTTTATTAAATTGTTTGTATAAAATTTTCACTGAAACTCCTTTGAATAGGAAACGCCGAGAATTAAGATAAATCTATCAAGAAATTATTTTATGTTTTAAAATATCGTTTTATAACGAAATTAAAGTTTACCTTTGAAGCTGTTTTTGACAAAAATATTCTAAGACTTCTCCTACTTTGTACAAGGAGGGAAAAACTATTTTACTGCTTAAGACGATTGTTTGCTAAAGCATAGAAAATGTAAATATTTTTCGTTATCAAAGTAATAGTATAATTAGAAACATCCTAGAGGATAAGTAGATGTAGCCAATCAAACTAGAAAAAATATTTAGAGTTATTTTATTCAAATAAAGTATCAAAACAACAACAAGTAATTCGATAGAATCAAAAATCATTATAGCTTGATTAAGATATAATATGCTGAGTGTTTCAGAAACATGGAATATGCTTAAAAGTCAGTACTTTTTGCATTAAACAGTTTATTACCTAAGTTAGAAGTACAATGCAATTAGCTAACGAATAGTTATCTATACATATATGTCTCTATTGTATAGTTCTAATTAATTATTAAATATAAGGTAGTGATAGCCCAGTAGTAGTGCGCTCGATTGGGAAATCGGATGAAGCGGGTTCAAATCCCATATCTTGTTTGTCTGATATTTTCATTTGCGAATTATATCCAACATAATTACCACTTGTTTTATGGTAAAGGAAAACGTCGTGAGGCAATCTGCATGTCTGAGAGAACCTAGCAAGTTTTCATAAGACATGTAAAGTCTGCCAACATTGATACGGTCAACGGACGCACTAAGTAACCTACATCTTTAGATTCAGTATTCAAATTGAATTATGAATAATGATCACTCGTATAATATCGATCAAGTAGTCTTTAAACTCTAATAATATCGTTAAAAAACTTCAGAGTACTATTAGTAAGGTAGCTAGCAGTATGGCGATAAGTATCGATACTAAATACTCATACTGCCCATCCAAGAAGGTGTAGCTAAAGTGAAAGCTTTTTATCTAATGAAATCAGCTATAAAATAGCAAAAGAAATGGTAGCAAAAGGTTCAATATTTTATCTCTAACATTCTAAAATTACAACCATCGGGAATTTCTAATTTTTTACCGAATAATTCAAAGTTGTAAGAGCTAGAATGCCGGGTTTTAAATATAAATTTTAGACCTGCAAATTTTATTAAGTAAAAGGAATAACTTGCAAAATTTACAAAGTGAGGTATTTCTATCAACTTAAAAGTAATATTTTGAAAAAAAAATTTGTTAAATTTATGAGTGTAAGAACTTATTTTATTGTACCAAGTAATAATTTTTTACAGTTTTCTACCCCTATTGCGGAGTAGGCGCAGTAAATTTTGTTACATATCAGTCCATTCTCGACTTATCCTACCAAATACCTGAAGACCACACATATTGCAGTTTTATATTACGTTTTATAATGTAATATTTTCTAAATATTTATTTATATTTAAACTAGTGACTTTTAAAACTAGTTTTATTCACAATTTTACGGGTTTTAATTTTTTTTCGCGGAACTGTTGTAATTCTTTTTCTGAAATAAAAGAAGCCTTAGCTACTCCTTACAATATCATATTATTTTGACATTACCGACAGACACTTCAACTTTATTTATTTATATATATTGTACAGTTTTAGATTTATAGCGATTATTATTTTCGACAAGATTACCACTGCTAAAACAATGAATGACATCGAACCTAACTACTTTTTCAAAGAAATATGATCTAATCCCTTTGATCGTATGTCCAATAGATTCCCTTTGAATATTAGTTTATCTAAAGTATGTATTAAAAAGCACTAGAAGCGCAAAAATATGGACAATATTAGGAACTAACAAAATAAAGTTTCTTTTTCAGTTTAATGCGTTTATTAGAGCGTGGCCATACAACCGCCGCGCGGGCGCGCGTGAGCGGACACACGCCGGCGTGCTCGGGCCGCACGCCGCGCGCGCTCGCGCTGGGGCAGGCCGCGCCCGCCTTCGCCATACTGGCTCAAGTTGCCCTCTTCTCATTAATTATATTAGTTTGTGAGATTTATTGGCATAGGTGAGTTTGTATGTTTTATTTAACGGTAAAGTTGACTATATTCATATTTATTAATGAACGATAATCGTACATAAGCGATTAAATTTTGTTTGTTGTTTAAGCAAAATCTTTATTTTTAGAAATTAGCAATGTTTTAAATTAAAATTGTATATGTTTTTTTATACAAAAGAAAACTCTTAAGCTTAGCATATATAAACGTTAAACAATTTTGTATTTCCTCGAGGGTACATTTATGTTTAAAATATAATGCAATAAGTGATGGACAGCCCATCAATATTTCTTACAGGGCCCAGATCAAAAAAACAACTCTACGGGCGTTCAATAATCGCGCACATAACGCACAGTGGAGTGATTCCCGTGGAGCATAAAAAAACAATAAAGAAAAGATGTTTGACGGCCCGCGCCGTGAAGGGGCTACCTTAGAGTGTCTTCACACTGGTAGCTGTTATGCTTCGTTTAAATTATATAAAATGTTTTAGCCTTGTTGCACATCCTTTATGTTTTAAATATTTTTCAGTAGGAGGAAAGGGAGCTTTTTTAGATCTAGCTTCTTATAATAATAAAATATATATAAAAAATAGTAACGTTATTAAATCACTAATTTAATTTAAGATTGAAGGTTATGGAATTATATTTATTTTACCTTATTATACAGTAGACGTGTTATTTAGTGAGCATGTAGTATATAGTTTTAAATAGAAATACACTAAAAAGTAAGTGCACTTCTACCTTTTGAAATATATCTTATAATATTAGAAATATCTGTTTTATTTATAAACGTACTACATATTAACATATTATTATCTATTACATAAAGTAACAATATAAGTTAAGAATTATGTAAATGGCGAAAACGTTGGAATTGTTGAAATTTGTAGAAGATCGATAAAAATGTACATATAATTAGAGTTTGAAACGTTATTTTCTCGGTAAACATTTATCATAACGAGTCCATAACTTTAATATTACCTGTAGTTTTGGATTTCCAAAGTCATCAATCACATTATAACATTAATAAAGATATGAGACTTGGTCGTTTTTTCCACGCCGTCCGTGTGAACCTCCGAAGACGCCCGTCGCTCGGCCCGTGGCGGTGAGTAATGGAAGCGCGTCGGCGGCTATCTAAATCGCGCGTTATAAATGACGCGATCAATTCTTGTTTACTCCCGAGGGCCCTCGTTGAATACACTCGAGCGAGCTGCACTCCCCTGCTTATTTTAATAGATTGAAGATCACTTAACGTAGAATGATGATATAAAATCGAGTTTTATTGAAAATACATCGACAACTTAAAGTTAAGTGTGACTTATGAATATTACAACATTTATCATTCTACATATTATATAGATAGTATGTATAAAGGATGCTTTTATACCCTTTGCAGTAAAAATCCTGAATGGTTTTATTAATGGCTTTATCATCCGATTGGAATGATCGACAAATTACAACCGATTACATTTCTAAACAAAGTTAGTAAAAGCTAAGAAAATTCGACTTTATGATAGTAAGTTTATTAGATCAAGCAAGTGATTAACACTATTTATGAATATATTTTACAAGAGACAAGAATTCTATTCTTCTGTAGAGAAATAGTGCGCACTTATTATAAATTAATATTTAATCCTCATCCTAAAAGCTTTACGTCATGGTCGTATTATATTTTTAAAATTTGATTATTTTATATACCAACTGGGCTTAAAAGCAGTTTTATGAAGGTCATACGAAAATGTAATGTACGTACATTAATTCATTTTAGCCTGTCCATAAATAAGTAGATTCACTACTCAAAAACAGCCAATTTTTCATCTAAAAGTTATTTTCTGATAACTTTGTAAATTTCTAGTGATTTTGAAGAGTTTCCATATAGTCCTTCCTATAGGTGCTTTTTACCACTTTAAACAAAATCCGGTTTTATATGTTTTTCATTAAGTTAGCCGACGTAGAATGGAGAAGACATGGAGGAGATAAGTCGGAATGGCTTTTTTACAGTGAAATATGTAACTATTACCAATAGAATTGATATTTAAAAGTAAATAAAAAATCTGTATTAAACTCTTTCGGTAAATTGGTCGTTTGGACAAATAAGGTGACGATTCTAAATAAAACTAAGAGACTTTAAACATCTTCAAAAATTAAACGTCAGCGATATTAATAACGATGTTACTGAGACACGTACGACGAATGCATTTGCATACAAATAGAAGTGTCAGCCAGTTATTTTATATTACTTAGTTGGCAACTGCTGTATGTCTTTGTCGTCGGTGTTATTACGTTTTTCGGTGTTTTCTCGAATTGATTTTTGATTTTATTCTTCACTTATCTATACTAATATTATAAAGAGGAAAGATTTTTTTGTTTGTTTGATGTTTATTTATTTGTACCGCATAGGTTCCTAAGTTACTGAACCGATCTAAATGAAATTTAGTAAGAAGATAGTTTCAGATCCTGAAAAGGACATAGGATAATTTTTATTCCGGATATCATCTCTTAAGGGGGGTGGGAATGGCGATGAAATGTGTATGGGGAAGAAACGCAGGGACGAACCCGAGTGAAGCGAGGGTGCGTCTCTCGTCTTTAATATTTAACAATTTTATTATAGATATTTAAAAAATATAGATATTTAAAAAAAAAATGTCCGGAGTGATGTTCTTAATTTCTTTTGTAATTTATTATCTTACTACCGATTTCCATGCGCTTGGGTGCATCCCTAGGTATCTTACAGTTGACATAGTACTTACTCTAGAACATAGATCTGTGTACATATTTCATCCAAATTAATCCAGTCGTTTCTGCGTGAAGAGCACTTATGAGGTGTCAGGTAATTTTCTAATGAGTTCAAATTTGTAGACTTTACTAGAAGATATGGAAGAGTTCCACTAGCTACTTTCTGGCTCCATCATCAGATCAACTCGGTGATATCAAATTATTTTGTTACTATCCGGATTTCATTTACTTACACAGTATCAAAAGAATTTGTAGAATAATACTTTCCCAGATTTACGCAAATACCACTGTAAAAATACCACAATAAATAAAACCACCTTTGCGGATTATTTCGTGAATATATTTTCATTTTTGGTTCCCGACATTTTGAATGCTTTACAGCAAACATGGTCGCGGGAGTTACTTAAGCTTTTAGACGTCTTAAAGGCGTTACGTCTAAATCCTGTCTCTCCTAGAAAAGATGGTTTTATTTAAAAGGATTTGTAAAAGTTTATATCTGACTTACAAAATTTGATTACGTAGGTAATTAATTACTTAATTATAGGTGAAGTTTATAAAAACGTGTTACGAAACATACCTATAAATAGCTATTCAATCTGATATAACAAAGCATTCAAAACGTTTCATCCATCGCGTCGCTCTGAAATATATTTCCACACTAGCATTGCTCGCGGCTTTTTGTATTTTTTCTCAGAAATGATACATTTTCCCGCGGTAGTAAGTATTCTATATGTTGACACGGATAACTAGCTATCACCATACCAAATTTCATCAAAATCCCTCCAGTGGTTTTTTGTGATGCGGTAGCAGTAACAGACAGACAGACAAAAGTTCTAAAAACTATAGATTCGGCCTCTGTATCGATAATAATGTTTATTTCAATAATATTTTCCAAAAAATATTTAACGAACAGATTCGGATTTGTTACAATTTTATTATATTATTAATATGTATAGATTACGTCGCTATTGTAAATTACCGCAGGTAGTTTTTTAATCTGTTCGTTAGTATACTCGTCTATCTTAGAAAAAGAAAAAAGAACAAAACTATGGTGACCGGATTTTATTAAAGTGGAAAGTCTAAGATACAGTTGACAGTGTTATTGGCTGTTATTAAAAATGATAGGTACCATGTAGATTGCCCTAGACCCATATCTAAAATATGAGTACTAACTTACATAAAAAAATAAGCATGGTATATTTTGTAGCTTTTTTTTGTAGAATTTAACAAATTTTCAGGGATAGGATAGGAAGAGATAAGTCTTAAATTTTTCTTTTGAAGAAAAGCTTATATTATGTTAAAAATATTAAAATAAAAGCTTATTCATAATGAGGTGTTGTTAAAATATAAAAATGTAACATATTGCATTTCAATCGCATACATTATTAAAACATACACATTAGTCGGCGCAAATTGAATATCGATATGCTAATTTGCCCAAAAACCTGTGAATGTTCAATGCGGACGTTAAAAACGTAAATATGCTGTAAACTTTAGTGTTATTAAACTTTACACTACAATAAAATAAAGTTAAACGATTTGAAAATTTTCAATACCATGAAAACTGCTTTAATTTTTTACTGCAAAGAATTTTTAATATACATATTATACTTATTGAATATTATTACGTTTTATTTATCTATTTATAAATAGGCAAAGACAAAACAGTTTAGCACAGATAAATAATTAATATTTTTAATTTTTAATATTCTTTATGATTATACAAAATATAATAATAGCAACACTAAATAATATTAATAATTAATGAAGTTTTTAAAAATTGTAATATTTATTATAATAATAGCTAAAATTAAATAAATAATATGCTATATTCAATTGTAATATTTATTAAATATTTTTTTAAATGTTTAGAAATAAAAATCAACAAACATTGTAAGGTACTTTATTGCAATTTTTTGAATTTTTGAAATCATTTTTGTATGTAACAAGTATATGTTTGAGACGTCTATAACCTTAGTCTCTCCCGTGACCATGATTGCTGTAAACCATTCGAAACGTCGGGAACCAAAAATCAAAATAAATTCGCGAAATAATCCGAAAAGATAGTTTTATTTAAAATGTCAAATATTCGCGTAAATCTAAGAAAGTATTAGTTCAGTTTTTCTTTCTTTCCTGCTTGTTAACCGATTTTCTTTTTTTTTTTTGCTTTAGTAGCTGAGTTTTTATGATAGCAATAAAAAATGGCAATAGTTTTTTTTTAAATAGATAAATAAATTCTATTCATAATACATACATGTTTTTTTGACGACACGTTTGACTCAGTTTGTAGTGTTACTTGCTGTGCCAGCATCGCGGGTTTGAGTCCCGCTGGTTTATTTGTGTGATGAGCACGAATGTTTTTACTCCACTCATGGGTACTTATATTTATAATATGTATTCTATATGTGTAGTGTATCAACTATCCATAACACAAGCCTCGTAGCTTACCGTGAAACTAGATGGAGCTGTGTCTTAATAAAAAAAGCTCAAATTTTCGGTAGGTACTGATAATAAATGTTGGATTTAATTTCAATCTCTGGGTGAACACCACTTTTTATAAATATAAAAGAATATTTATTTGTTTATTTTTCTCCTTTTACGAAACAATGAAGCAATGAATTTTTGAAGCGAGATAGTTTATTGGCCGGAGATTGATGTATTGTCGATATTATGCTATGTCAAGTGGCACTATAGTA